GGACCTACCCAATCCGGTGCCGAAGTCCGTTTTGTCCTGCGACCAGTAGTTTGGGAGATACGAGGACGTACCACGAGGTCGCCGTCCAGGCAGAGGAGGAAGTGGTGATTTTTTGGAGCCCAAAGTAGCTCTGGCCGCCGTTCTATCGGGTGTCCGGGACTTCTGACTTCGGATTCAGGTTCAGGGAATCTTCAGCTACCCATAGCCGGAAGTTGGTCTCGATAGGTCTCATGGTTTGACCAGGACGGCGTCAACCGTCAAAACCTGTAATGTTTACCTGCCGCCAAACAACCAATAATCGCCGTCCTGGGCAGTCTGTTGGCCTCATCGAGGCCAAACTCGGGCTCAGGACAGGCGAAGACCCCCTGAACCCTAATCCAAAGTCAGAAGTCCCGGACACCAGGATAAATCGTTTTAATTTTGAATCTTCACTAGTGGATAAAAAATAATAATCTTGTTTCAGTGACAAATAGTTGGGCTGCTCTACTGCTCCAGCAATGGACACGGTGCTCGTTATTCCAAAGTGTAATGTTAAATGATCCGTTATAGTATTTTGGGACACACTGTGTTTATTTAGGGAACCAGATAGTGTGTTAGGCATGGAAGGAGGTTCACAAAGATAAAATATCTTCAGTTTGACTCTAGTTATAATCAAATTGACCCGCAAAGGGGCATTTTTTTATTTTTTACGTAAAAATGAGAAAAACACGTAACGTAAAACGGTGGGTATCAATTAAACTAAGCAAGACCAGGACATGGGACACAACTCAAAATGTTCCTCCTTAGTTGACCTTTGAAAATTTTTTTTTTTTTCAAAATCAATTGCCGCGTCTTTTGAGTAAAGTAAAAAAAAATTCCTATTTCGACAAATTTTGTCGAAAAAATTTCAAAATTCTTTTGACATGTCTTTGGGTCAAGGAGAACCCAAAAACGAAGTTTGGTTTGATTTGGACAACCTATGTCGAAAACCCTGTCTTTCCCACATAGACAGCGTCTTTAGTTTTACCAGTGTGGTAGGGAAAGGTCTGCGCATGCGCTTGCAGGAGTGGTTTGTCAGGAGTCGCAGGATTAACGGAGTACCACACAAGACAAGTGTACGCGTTCTAATAACGCGCTCCGCTGAGGGGGTAATAGCATCGTTGATACGACTGGGTGATATGGTCGTCTGAGGTGCACTGTGGCAAAAAGCTACGGAAAATTCTGTAAACAGCTTGTGGTAATTCTCCGTAGCCCCCTTATCAATATTCTCCGTAGGCTCTTACAGTATTTTCCGTAGGACAGCACAGTCTTCTCCGTAGGACCTTACAGTGATCTCCGTAGGACTATACAGTCTTCCAGGTCCTACGGAGAAGACTGTGCGGACTTACAGAGAATACTGTACGGCCCTACGGAGAATGCTGTAAGAGCCTACGGAGAATATTGATAAGAGGGCTACGGAGAATCCTGGCAAAAAAATTAACAGAATTTTCCGTACCTTTTTGCCACAGTGTGCTTCGGTAGCCTCGGCTGCATCCCAATTCATCAGTGTTATCGTATCGTGCTTCGCTATGCGAGGGTACTCCAGGGTATAGGGTACTTTCGTAGATCCTGAACCGGAAGCACACAGCCGCCACGTTGGCAGAAGTAGACCAAAACTTGACATGAGAAAGAGGCAATAGTAAAACGTATCGGCCTTACTTGAACATAAACAGTCGTTTGTTAATTATATGCAGTGCATAAGTGTTCCGCGAGCAGAATTTGTACACCTGGGCTATAGTTTTAGATCCGAAGAGAGGTAAGTTTCCGGCCAATATGGCGTCTGCTTGCTTCCGGTTCAGGATCTACGAAAGTACCCTATTGACACATCGCGGTTCGTAAGGTTTTGAGGGTCCACGCTACGAAGCGTGGATCTGGCGCTCACTTAAATTGACAGTGGAAGGAGTAGAATTGGATGTGGGTTCGCTCATCCGATACCAACTGAGGGTTGAGCGTTACGCTACGACTACTAGTCAAGGTCTGCACATATTGGCCTTTTTCTCCCTTTGCACGGCAGCGCCCTTGAGCACCCGTGTAAAATTTGAATTCAAATATTACACGGTGCCGATTCTACGGCCGTATTAAGGTTGTATCTGAGGGTAGGCACTGGTAAAACTTAAGCGTAGTATTACCCTCTGTTTTCAAGCGTATTCAGTTTACGCTTGAAATCAAGCGCAACAGGCTCTTCCTCCAAGATTCCCCCTATCTAAATGCATGGGGGAATTTCCAGAGTATGCTTCATTTCAAGCGTAACGTCTTCAAGCGTAACTTTATGCTCGACTCAAGCATAGAAATGCGCTTTAGTTTTACTAGTGGGGTACATGGTATCTTGGTTTCACGCTATGGCTACAGCCGTCAACCGTTCAGTTCATCAGTTTAAAGCCAAAACGTCTGTTAGAATCAGCATGGAAAGCTCCCTCTCTTCCTGCCGTCTGCTCTGCGTAACACTGTAGACTCACACTGTCATACAAACTGCAATAACCACTCTCTCAGACTAGTATTGACTTTTTCCTTTTATCCTTTGCTTACCTAGTTTTTTAAGCAGCAATAATATTCAGTATTTCCTTTGTACCCATTTACAATATTGTTCACTTTAAAGACTAAATTGTCATCAATTGACTATTTTTCAGTCAATTTCGTACTGACTCTTTGTCTACAGCAAACTGACTTTAAGTCAATATAACGAACAAAATCTTTCATATATATTGAGCAAATAGTACTTTTTATTGCTGTGTAATACTCTTTCACTAAAGATAAAAAGTCAATATCAGTCTGAGAGTGCACTATGCATATTATGCAACCGAACAACTTATCACAATGTTCTTAGAACACTGACTTCTAAAAGTATGCCATAGAAAACAGCCAAATTTTGAGATAAAGTAACACATTATTGCGATAGTCTAAACGAAAATCCATTCAAAAGTTATAGCAAAAAAGAAACGCTCTTTCATCGGACAAATCGGTTATTGCAACAACATGCAATAACTAAACTATTGCACTCCAGCGTGCGATAAATCGTGGGAATCGCCGTCTCTGTTATATCGCAATGAATTGTAAATTATCTCGAAATAAATGACTGCATTTCCACATGTTTCGCAGGTGCTGCGGTTGGTGCTGACGGTGAGCAGTGAGGCGAGACATGATGCCCGGCAACTGCGAGCATTGCCTGGAGGGGTTTGAGGCTGAGGAGCTCCGGCCCAGCGTCCTTCCCAGTGGGCACACGTCGTGCCCTTCGTGCCTACGGACGGGCGAGGATCGAAGTCGCTGCCCTCTCCAGGTATGGCAGTGTAACACTCTTGATTGTCTTAAATGGCAAATCAACGCATGTGACGTTCGTTTTCTAATGTGAAAAATGTCACATTCGTTATGTATAAATGTCTCATTCGTCTTGGCGAGAGCCACGATCAAGTTACGAATCTCGGTGCATTCCACACACTCAGACTCGTATTGACTTTTTTCTCTCCATTATTGACTTTTTGGTCCTTTGCTTCCGTAGTCTTTTAAGCAGCAATACTGTGTAGTATTTCCTTCCTTTGTAACCATGTACAACATTGTTCACTATAAAGACTAAATTGTCTTCAAGTCAATATAACGAACAAAATCTTACATAGATATTGAGGAAATAGTACTTTTTATTGCTGTGTAAAATACTCTTTAACAAAGGACTTAAAGTCAATCACAGTCTGAGAGTGCAGACAAAGGGGGGCTGACTCCAATAATACTTGAGTGGTCATCAGACAGAACAACCTATTTTCAATGGGTTTCCCATGAGACTTACGCCCTTATGCCCGAAGGCCACTGACTTCGTACACAGCCCAATAAAAGAAGGATAATACACCTATAATATTGTAATCCATAATACCGCCTAAAGTCGTTTATGTAGTGCAGTTTTAGCTTTAAAACGACAGAGTTTTGTAAAATTTTAGCTTACGGAAGTTCAGCTATTTCTATATGAAAAGTAAGAGTGACACAATAGCGCTAAAACAGATGACAGGGTGCTGAAGCTCTTCAGCGTGTGCGGTTGTTTTTTTTTTTTTTTGTTCAGAAGCGCGAGCCAAAACCCTAGTTTCCGATTGTATTTTTCCCATTCTTCTCGTTTTAAAGTCACTTACGCGTTTTGAAAAATTTTGTTTGTGAAGAAAACCCGAGAGAAAACCACGAACACCGACTCAATTATTTAAATATAATGCTTAAAATAACACCTATAATTCTCTATAATAATACCGTTTTTTGGCGATACAATGAAGTCGCGAACTAACGGCCATGCGGAAAAATCTTGCCCTCCTAACGGCGCTCAAGACGGCGCTACACAAACTTTGGCGACACTTTGGAGTTTTGCCGCGATTTGGCAATGAATTTTGAACAAATCAAGGGGACTAGTTCTTAGTCAATTGCCGGATTTCGGCGGTACCTCAAAGTGTCACCGTTTTGAATAAGGCAAGATATGTCGGTAACACTGTCCTTGCGTACACGTGTTCATGTGCACAAGTGTTGTACACACTACAAATGTGTGGAAGGTGCAAAACTGTGATTACCCAACACCATCAGACCTGTATGGACTTTTTTCTCTCTTGCTTATTACGTTTTTTGAGCAAACGTACTTGAACTATGCACAATCTTCTACAGTGTGGCGGGGCCGATGTGCAGGATGCGGAGCTTCTGCGCCTCCCGGACGCCGTCCTCGTGCAGGTGCTGCGGTTCGTGGACGTGTTCGACGTGGTGCGCTGCCGCCAGGCGTGCCGCCGCCTCAAGGCCCTGTCCACGCACCCGCAGGTGTGGCAACACCGCGCCCTCGACGACTCGTCCAGGTATGAAACCCGTCCTCTCTGTATGAAACGAGGGCAGCGTCGTGTTGGGCACTGCTAAAAATACGCACTCTCAGTCTCGTATTGACATTTTATCTCTTGCCATAAAGTTTTATAGGCAAACGTAATACGCACTATTTTCAGCCATGCACTATTTTGTTCATTGTATAACGTTTCTAGTCCATGAAACCTGACTTTTTGTCATTTGAAATGTACTTTTCAATTTCTACATGATCCAATGACAATTTTTATCTTTATAATGATCAAAATTGTTCATGGGGGGGGAGATTTAGATTAAAGTTCACCCAAATTTGTCTCGTATTGACCGCAGGTTACAGTAACTTACGAAAAAATCCTCATTAATTTACCATTAATGTTAGTGGTTGTTCAAAAAACCCACTCTCAGCCCATTACTGACTATTTCTCATTAGCAGAGTAGCAGACGCATTTCTGTAAGCAACCATAATACTTACAATTTTTTGTCAATATAACTTAACAATTGCTAATTACTGTACTGATATTTCTGTTTTCTTGGTAAATTACAAAGAAATTTTTAAGTTTTTAAGAACTAAATACTAAGTATTATGGTTGTTTACAGAAGGGGGGAGGCTCGTCATTTTCCGTCAAAAAAACAGATTTTCGGTTTTGAGATTTTTGAATTCTTTGCATCAAGCCCTTTAATTATGTGGCTGATTGGTTTCGAATTTCGAAACCGTTCGGTCAGAGGACAACATTTTGTAAACTATTTTCCACAGGTTAGGTTAGACCGTTCAAACTTTAGAGCCATTTTACTCAATTGCGATATTTTGGGCCTTGCGCGCACGATTTAGGCCAAACCATTTCACGTATTGACTTGAAATTTTTTCTGGTGTTCCACCTAAACAAGATCCATAAATTGAACCTCTAGTTTCCAAATTGAACAACTGCAAGTGGTTTTTATCAACTTTTAAAAGCTCAAATTTTGTATACTTTTAAATATTTTTGTGAAATGTAAAATAACAATAGTTAGAAACCAGATATGTAAAACCCAGAGGTTCAATCTATAAAGCCAAGTGTCTAGTTTCAGGGGAAACAAACGGATTTGGAAAAAGTTGCCGGATAGCTTCAAAACCTTGCGCGCAGTGAATTTATGTCTTTTTGCAAGGTATTTTTGATATGCCTTCAGAACCTGGTTAAAGTGGCCCAAAATAAATAACTTTTTTTACAAAATGTTCTTAAAAGTGTGATCTTTCCATTGGAAAACCCCTCATTCCTTCAAAACAATCAGGAAAAAAAATATATGTTTTTAAATTTAACCAAAATTTTAGTGTTACTGGCGAGCCTCCCCCCTACAGAAATACGTCTGCTAATGAGAAAAAGTCAGTAAACGGCTTAGAGTGCCTCTTCGAATTAACCGATTTTCTTCGTGAATGACCAAGTTTCTAAAGAATTAACGAAATCTCGTCAATTTCGAAGATTCGTGCCTGGAGTGTTTGGTGGAATGGTCAAATACTGAATACTGAGCAAACTGAAGAGTGTACGTGCTTGATATTTCATTAGTGCCAGCCTGACGTACACTTTTACAGCATGCCTGTCAAGAAGGCGATAATAAGCGTTGACCGTCAGGTTTTCTTTTTTTGGAGTGTCATCACTCTCAGCACGTTACTGACTTTTTCCTCATTAATCACGTATTCGTTTAAACAGTACGAAGTATTTTCTGAGTAAGCATGACTAATTTCCTTTGTAAAATCGTGTACAAAACAAAATCCTCAGTACATTATTTAATATTTCCTAAGTAGTTCTTTCAAAAGGGAAAAGTACACTTTATGGTTGCTCAAATTACTTGCGTAAGTACTGTCAAAATGATCAAAAAGTCAATAACCTGCTGAGAGTGAACCGAACCATGTCCACACTTCAGTTTGCAGCACCTACAGGTCGTTGGATTAAGGCAAATTTGTTCAAGTGTAAAATGAGATTTTGTCTGCCGTGTCCTTGGAAAGCTTGGGCCGCTAAATGACGTTCGCTTGCCTCCACAGGTCCGCGGCCAGGGCCCTGCGGGTCGCTCTGGAGCTCGCCCCGTGCGCGCGCTCGCTCTCCGTGGCGGCCCGGGCGTCGCTGCGGGCGCTGGCCCGCCTGGCCGCCAAGACGTCCTGTGCCGCCGAGGAGCTGTGCCTGTCGCCGGACGACTACGTGGAGGAGGCTGTCCTGGTGCTCCAGAGGCAGGCCGACCTCGGTGGCCTCAAGAGCCTGACCCTCGAGTGCCGACTCAACCCCGATGTCACCGGCTATGAGGCAAGCATTTAGCAAGGCCCGGAAATGTCGGTAGCAAGTCCCCGCAGCTTAATGGCCAATTTCACCAGAGGCGGCAGCAGTGAAACAAAAGACAGTCGGTCCACAACAAACAGACGACAAACGCGCACAAATGACCGTTAAAGAGGCTATTTTGTGCACGTTTGTCGTCTGTTATTGTTGTGGACCAACTGTCTTTTGTTTCACTGCTGCCCTGGTGAAATCGGCCATGTGCAAGCCATTTGTTTAAGGCAATAATTGGAGAGCCTGGCCGATATTCTTCCCAGCCTGCTAAAATTTGGCATTGCAGGTGGCGGAAGCGTTAACGGCAAGGTAATGAAGATTTCAGGACAAGGTTCGCCGGTTTTTGTTGCTCAAAACGGCTTGCCACTGGATTCGCAGAGTAATAGTAAGGAGCCTGGTCCCTTTTATTCCCGCGACAAACGCGACTACGAAGGACTCTCCGGTTCAAATTATCAATGTACATCAAAAGCGTAACTGTTCTCTTGAGTCTAACTAAAAGGCTTGCTTGGAAACATTACTCTGGAAATGGAGCATGGCCTGTTACACTGCAAACCTAACTGTCTACTAAGTACACACTTACAAATGCATGCTTGCAAGTACACACTTACAAACGCATGCTTGACGCCGTATAACTCCATGCGTCAAGCATGCGTTTGTAAGTGTGTACTTGCAAGCATGCATTTGTAAGTGTGTACTTGCGGGCATGCGTTTGTAAGTGTGTACTTAGTTGACAGTTAGGTTTGCAGTGTAGTCTTCCTCACTTTTAGACGAGATGAATCTGGGCGGATGAGCAGAGGGTACGGCCACGCTACTGCCCGTTTTCCGCTCGTCTTTGCTGAAAGGGAGACCTTACTCAAATTTAGATCAGTGTCTGCCTAGGTTTGCCACCAAAGAAACATTGCCACCTGAGCGATGTCATAAGTTATTCCGCAATTCCTAAACAAGCTCATATTATGGACTAGAACATCGACTATCGTTCGCGTCACCTGAAGTAGGAGGGTTTGTTTCCGATCTAATGCAGCCTTTACGCTAAAAATGCTTGGTTTTGTGGCTAAATTTTCTGCTTCTTCTGAATGATGATGTCGGTAAAGTACCAAATTCAGTTGTAGAAGTTGTCTGGATGCAAGGAGTGTACGTACTGTGAAAAGGTGCTTGTACGTCGTGTGGTATAAGTAGGAGCAAGGGCACCGAAGATTCAATGTGCCATTTAGTCTCGCCATGAAGTTTTATGCCTTTCATTGTTGTGGTTCTGTTTCAGAGGGAGATGGGAGATCTCCTATCAATAGTTTTTACCATTGATGGGTTAGAGGAGTTGAGTGTCGCCTTCATGTTTTGGCGGGGTATGACAATGCCGCTGAGGGCCGGAACAAAGCTTCTCCAAGTCCCGAGTCCATGTCCGAAGCCATCGCTCAAATCCCTGATCTATAGTGTCAGCCAGGTGAGACAAACATGAAAAATCGGATAACTGCATTCAGAAGTCCGACCCGTTTCATTATGCATCAATTGGGATCCCGAAATTTTTTAAATTAATGAGTGATGACTTAAGCCGTATGTCATGCTTTATAAAAGTCTCGTATATTAAAAAAATTCAGTTATCGTCGTTTTACAATTGATTCCGTTACACGTTCATTATTGGTTTTGTCGACGACGTAACCCGTTAGATTGCAACATTATTTCATAGGTCCCTAAAGAAATACGCAAGTTTTCGTAACAGCTCGCAGCTGTTAGAATTTTTTCGTATTTTAACAAAAAAAAATGTCATTTCATTAAATGTTTACCCCTCCAAATTCTTTAACTTCTCGAACAAGGACATGTCTGGTCAATAATTTGCCTGGAACGTCCGTACTTGTCAACTACGGAACGTTCCGTACTTTTTTTCCGTACCCATTTACATGTGTTCATATGGAGCAAGTACGGAACGTTCCGTACTTTTCTCCGTACCTCCGTACTATATTTTTCTGTGCCATTTCCGTACAAAAGTACGGCATTTTTTACAGTGTGTTTATAAACAATAGCGTTGTCGAGGTTGGTAATTGTGTTGTTGTCTTAAAACAACCATTTTTAACAGTGCCATGTCATGTCGGCAGGAGGACGCGTTCCTGCAGGGGCTGCTGCGGCTGCACGGCCCAACGCTCGAGAAGGTGGCCCTGGGCGGCATGATCGACCTCAGCTTGCCGGCGATGGAGGCCCTCGTCTCGATGGCCAGCCTCCAGAAGCTGTGCGTGCCGCTGACGGAGGGCGTGGACCTGCTGCGGGCATGCCCCGCGCTCACCAAGCTCACCCTGGTGGTGCACCGCCCCTCGCCACAGGTAGGGATGCCAACCGCACTGCAAATCTGAGTGTGGGACAGGCATGCACTACACTCTCAGACCTATATGGACTTTTTTCTCTCTTGCTCACAGCGTTGTTTAAGCAAACGTAAAATGCACTATTTTCTCCTTAACTATGCACAATTTTGATCGTTATGAAGATAAAATTGTCAGTAGAACATGTAGAAATTGAAAAGTACATTGCAAATGGCAAAAAGTCTGGTTTAATGGACTTATACACTATACAATGAACAAAATAGTGCATAGCTAAAGAGAAAACGTTTGCACAAAAACGTTTATGGCAAGAGATAAAAAGTCAATACGAGTCTGAGAGTGTAGATACACTGTGGCAAAAAGGTACGGAAAATCCTGTTAATTTTTTTGCCAGGATTCTCCGTAGCCCTCTTATCAATATTCTCCGTAGGCTCTTACAGTATTCTCCGTAGGGCCGACAGTATTCTCTGAAAATCCGCACAGTCTTCTCCGTGGGACCTCGAAGACTGTATAGTCCTACGGAGATCACTGTGCGGTCCTACGGAGAATACTGTGCGGTCCTACAGAAAATACTGTAAGAGCCTACGGAGAATATTGATAAGGGGCCTACGGAGAATTACCACAAGCTGTTTACAGAATTTTCTGTAGCTTTTTGCCACAGTGTAACGCGGGACAAAATGTCCCACGCTTACAAACAGGGGACACGGTTTGTCCCACGCTTGCAAGTGTGGGACACAGTTTGTCCCACGCTTACAGGCGTGGGACAGTTTGTCCCATGTTATCTAGTGCATGCCTGTCCCACACTCGAACTTGCAGTGCGGTATCTCGCGAAATGTTAAGGTATATTTATTTTTTACGTGGTGCTGCGTTCTTTTAAACCTGTGACGTTTTTCCATGCCATTGTGCTCTAATTGCGACAAAACCTAACTGTTACTAAGACACACTTACCCATCGACTTGCAAGTTGACACATTACCAACGCTGGCTGGGCAGGTACACATTACAATGCATGCTTGCCAGTACACACTCAACGCAGCTGACGCGTATCTCCAAATGTTCACAGGTTTTATTGTGTACTTGCAGCGTTCTTTGTAAACTGTGTACTTTTCCAGTAGCTTGTAAGTGTTACTTGCACACAACTAATGTGTACTAAGTAACATTGATCCAGGAAGCGGAAGAAGGGAATAACTTGACTTATCCCCAAATTGAGTTTTTATTTTATTATTGTGCCTTAGAATGGTTTACATCATTACACCAAATTATTTGACTGAATTCCAAGCAGTTTAGGAGAAAATCCACTTGGAAAAAGGGTATAACTCAACTTAACCCCTTTTACAGTCTAAATTTCATTGGAAAATGGAGATAACTCAACCTTAGTCTACATAAGTCCGTTTGACAAATTGGCAAAAGGATATAACTTAACTTGTGTTTTTATGAATCTAGTGTAAAAAGAATCAACTCAACTTAACCCCCCTAAATTTTAAATTTCAATTTGGAAAAAAGAGCTAAGTCCAAAAAATACACCAGAGTAACATACACTTTATGCAGACTATTGTTCCACTTGACTTGTCTCCTCTTTGTTTAGGAAATATAAGGTGAGCTGACTCTGTTTTCCATTTCAACGGAAAGTGATAAGTCGCAGAAATCCTCTACGGAGTGACCTTACACTTTTGATTTTTTTTCCAAAATTTTACTAATGCTTTTTGAAATTATTAACATGTGCAACATTCATTTGTTTTGTTTTAGTTTTCCCTGCTAACAGTTTTTTGTTTCTCCTGAAAAATGATCAAAATTGAGTTATCCCCTTCTTCCGCTTCCTGGATCAGTTAGATTTGCAGTGTGGCCAAAAAAATAAAACTTTGCATTTTTACGCACAATATTATGCAAATTCCATGTATGCACCAAATCGTACAAGTTGCGCGTGCAAAATTCAACCTAAACATTTAGAGTGCAGTTTTATTGCACAATTGATTTCTTTGTTCTATTCTTGTACGTGGTGTGTCACATCTTTGCGCACACGTGCTTTTGGTACCAAAGTGAAGGCCATTTCACATGAATCCGAGCGATTCTGCGTATTAAGGAGTTGCACGAATATGTTGGCATGCTTGAAATTCTATGAGGGCGTGTTAAAAATCAAACGAACACTTGATCCAGGAAGCGGAAGAAGGGGATAACTCAATTTTGGCCATTTTCCAGGAGAAACCAAAAACTGTTAGGAGGGAAAACTAAAACAAAACAAATGAATGTTGCACATGTTAATAATTTCAAAAAGCTTAAGTAAAATTTTGGAAAAAAAAATAAAAAGTGTAAGGTCGCACTCCGTAGAGGATTTCTGCGACTTATCGCTTTCCGTTGAAATGGAAAACAGAGTCAGCTCACCTTATATTTCCTAAACAAAGAGGAATTCGGAGACAAGTCAAGTGGAACAATAGTCTGCATAGAGTGTATGTTACTCTGGTGTATTTTTTGGACTTAGCTCTTTTTAGGCACGAAGTAGCCTTATAGTATCCCCCAGGATTCAGCCTCGCTGGGATTTGATCGTGTGGCCCCTTATGCAAGTCGAAACCTCTCCGTACGATTTTGATGAGATTTTGCAGACTGGTAGAATTCTGAGACGTGATTTCAATTCTGGAATATAGTTGAAATCTTAGCGATAAATTTTGAGAAAATTGCCGTCTAAATCACTGTTTCCATAGCAAAGGTCGACTCGTCAACGAAAAGGGAAGAGAGAGGGGGGAGCCGAGCCAAACCCAACCAATAGCATGGCTCCTTTTTGCTTGTGTACAGGTTACCCCAAAAACGGTCGCTTCTTTGAAAAAGGACGTTCGAATAAAAATTTTCCGCGACCGTGATAGAACAGATGTAACAATAGCACAAGAGGGTTTTTTTGGACGCAGTCTTTTCATTGGCACTGCCTGATGAAAATTTTTAATTTATTACACAGTCATACCAACATGGAAACCTACACTCATTGTGAGTTTTGTGTTTGTTTCATTTTCAATGTGTATTTTCTACCACAAAATTAATCTGTTTAAATTATGACATTATATCTGAATATATTTTGAGGACACATGTTGAAGAAAAGATTTAAAAATATTGAAAAAATAGAACAATTTTTTCATTTATCAACTCTTTACTGAATCAATAAAACAAAATTATATTTCTTAGCTCTGTCTTAGCTCTAGTTTTTGTTTGATGTTTCTTTTCATTCAGTTAGCACGATGACCACATCGCTCCACCTCGCGACTTTCAGTGCTCATGTTCCTCGAACAAGACTCACCTGCGATTCGAAACCATCCCTACTGAGTTTATAAAGTTTGTCAAACCAACCGTCGTGGTGTTATTACGTTGTGAATGAGAACTATTTCACAGAATTGAAGAAAACATGACTAGAGAACCGCCTTTTGAAACAAGCCAAACAATTCAACGTCAGCAACAATGGCGGGGCAGTTTTAATGCGCGACTACTCGTGTTTTCGGCTTCGCTATTTTCGCAAGGGCGCAGTTGCCGAGAAGATTGTTGCCGACCCGTGAAATTTAATTTACTGCCTCCTTTCCCCCACGAACATTTTAATAATGATTGACTTCAAAGATGTTCCAGTGTGGAATACATTAGCATTGGAATTTTTCGAATTTTATGGCATTTTGATTTCTTTTTGTTGCCAAGTTTAAATTTTGACGGGTGGCACATCGACCACATTGGTACCCTTGCCATTCGTACCTTAACCACCCCCTATCCCTTTTACACAACTTTTTTCCTTTCTCCACACTCCTACACAATAACTATATTGACTTCGTGACTCCTAGGATTTCTTAAAATCGTAGTTTTTCCAAATTGAAATTTAAAATTAAGGGGGGGCTAAGTTGAGTTGATTTTCATGTGGACTTCCGTTGAGTTATCTCCATTTTCCAATGAAATTTAGATCGTAAAAGGGGTTAAGTTCACGGTTAGCGCGACTCCTTGAAAAACAAGGACGGTTTTTGAAAAACAAGGAAATATGGAACACTTCAAGGAAGTTCCTTGGAAGTGTGCTCCCATTCCAAGGAGGCTCCCTTGTTTTCCAAGGCCAGTTCCTTGTTTTCTTGGACTCCAGACAAATTCCAAGGGGCCGCCTTGTTTTTGGGGTGCACTTCCAAGGATACGCCTTGGTTGGTCTTTGCCGATTCAAGGAACCGCCTTGTTTGTCCGCAAACGCTCGAGTTACGTCGTCGAGCACGTCATGAGGTCCCCGATGACGTCCCCCTGGGGTTCACCATGACGACCCCCATGTTTCACTGTGCCGTTGAGGCGGCCGGGTCTCACAGTGGCCAACGCCGAAGTCCGTTTTCTTCTACGTCCAGTACTTTCGGAGATACGAGGACGTACCACGAGGCCGCCGTCCAGGCGGAGGAGGAAGTGGTGATTTTTTCGAGGCCAAAGTAGCTCTGGCCACGAGCCTATTTGGTGTCCGGGACTTTTGACTTCGGAATCGGATTAGGGGGGTGCCGGCCCACCTCGAAACCAAATTTGGTCAAATTCCGGCCAGCCGTTTGTCCAGGATGGCGTCAAACAGCTGGATTTTTGGACTTCTTTTGCTGATTGGATGATGTTTGACGCCATCCTGGACAAACGGCTGGCCGGAATTTGACCAAATTTGGTTTCGAGGTGGGCCGGCACCCCCCTAACCCGATTCCGAAGTCAAAAGTCCCGGACACCAAATAGGCTCGTGGCCAGAGCTACTTTGGCCTCGAAAAAATCACCACTTCCTCCTCCGCCTGGACGGCGGCCTCGTGGTACGTCCTCGTATCTCCGAAAGTACTGGAGAAGAAAACGGACTTCGGCGTTGGCCACTGTGAGACCCGGCCGCCTCAACGGCACAGTGAAACATGGGGGTCGTCATGGTGAACCCCAGGGGGACGTCATCGGGGACCTCATGACGTGCTCGACGACGTAACTCGAGCGTTTGCGGACAAACAAGGCGGTTCCTTGAATCGGCAAAGACCAACCAAGGCGTATCCTTGGAAGTGCACCCCAAAAACAAGGCGGCCCCTTGGAATTTGTCTGGAGTCCAAGAAAACAAGGAACTGGCCTTGGAAAACAAGGGAGCCTCCTTGGAATGGGAGCACACTTCCAAGGAACTTCCTTGAAGTGTTCCATATTCCCTTGTTTTTCAAAAACCGTCCTTGTTTTTCAAGGAGTCGCGCTAACCGTGTTGAGTTATACCCTTTTTCCATGTGGATTTTCTCCTAAACTGCTTGGAATTCAGTCAAATAATTTGGTGTAGTGATGGAAACCATTCTAAGGCACAATATTAAAATACAAACTCAATTTGGGGATAAGTCAAGTTATTCCCTTCTTCCGCTTCCTGGATCACTTTCAGTGTGTGCACTGAAAAACCAAACGTGGTCCAGACCGCACCACTGGTGTGGTCAGATAGATGCCATTTTGACCACATCAGTTGGTGTGGTCTAGACCACGTTTGACGACTATGGTGCGGTCTAGACCACGTTTGGCCATGTTTGGTGTGGTCTAGACCACACCAAACGGACCAAACGTGGTCTAGACCACACCAGCTGGTGTGGTCAAAATGGCATCCATTTGACCACACCAGTTGGTGCGGTCTAGACCACGTTTGGTTTTTCAGTGTGGTAATTGCGCGGTAATTAATGGGAATTCATTTATGATGGATGATGATGATGTCGATGACGCCCCATCCGTAGGCGCTGGCGGACGGGGAAGAGCTGCTCCGTTCCGCGACGACGCTGACGACCCTGAAGATCAAGACGTACCGCTACACCAGGAGGGAGCCGGGCCCCAAGGGGACCAAGCCGCCGAGCCGCAGCCCGCCGCCGTCGGCCTACTCCGCCAAGTGCGTCATCCGGGGGTGCAGCTCCGACATGGAGGAGCTCATGGCGCTGTGCTACATCGAGAACGAGGGCCGCAACGACGGGCTCGTGGTGCCGGCGCTCGTCAAGGCGCTCGCGTCGTCCGGGTAAGCCTTCGTCGGGTGTGAAGTAACACACTGGTAAAACTAAAGCGAAACTCTGTGCTTGAGTCAAGCATAGAGTTACGCTTGAGGACGTTACGCTTGAAACGAAGCATACTCTGGAAATTCCCCCATGCATGTAGATAGGCGCAATCTTGGAGGGAGAGCCTGTAACGCTTGAGTTCAAACGTAAACTGATAACGCTTTAAAACAGAGGGTAATACTACGCTTTGTTTTACCAGTGTTCATTGAGTGTGGAGTAACACACTTAATGTTACTTACTATTTTGTACGAGACATCACCTTTTTTTGTGCACACGAAATTTTCGTACATTTTTCGTACGAAAAGCGGCTCATTTTTTGCCATTTTTGTACAAAATTGTACAAAAAATTTGTACAAATTTGTACGAAAAGTTCGTGTGCACTATAAACTGTGATGTCTCGTACAAAATTTGCACCAAAACATTTAGTGTGAAGGGAGGGTGCACAGCAAATAAGTGTGGGATCGGGTCACCATGTTTAGCGTGAGCCAAAGTCTCTCCCGGGAAGTACACACTTATTCCAGGAACTGGACGTCACGTTAAAACGAATGTGACAAAGTGTCACGTTGCTTTGAGCATTGTGTCAAGTTCGTTTCAACGTGAATACGCTAATTTATGGCTGATTCACGTCCAAACGAATGTGACACAATACTCAAAGGAACGTGATGTTACATTCATTTCAACGTGATGTCACGTTCCTGGGTTGTTAGTGTAACGTGAACCCCGTGCCATCTCCTGGGGATTGACCGATATTCTATTGCGGAGCCCTGATTTATCGTGTGTTTCACGTGGCAGTGTGGGACAAACCATGTCTCACACTTGCGAGAGATAGGCATCAATGTCAGTATTGAAACCATTAAACTGATGTATTCAAGTGAATACAGGGGCCTAGTTGCAAATACACTCCCACTGAACCATACTTGACCAGTTTGCTTCTTTAGATCTATACCCTGCGGGTAAAAAGGCGGGTCTTGCAAGTATTCATCACATTCGTACGCCCCTGTAGATGCATACTGAATTCTGAACTGAATACTGACGCTAATTTGTTACCACAAAGTATTGTTTGTACTTATTGAAGAGTTTTAATAAATAAATACACTACAAATCCAGAGGTCAGACTTCTCCCCACTCCAGAGGCGAGACATAAAAGTCTCGCCAAAATTTGGTCAGACATAAAAGTTTCGCCACAAAACGGTCAGGCACAAAAGTCTCACCACAAAATGGCGAGACTTTTGTGTGTGACCATGGCCTTAAGGCCGTAACCGTCCGGCACATTACGGCCTTTAGGTGGCGGTCAAGTCTCGCCATTTTGTGGTGAGACTTTTGTGCCTGACCGTTTTGTGGCGAAACTTTTATGTCTGACCAAATTTTGGCGAGACTTTTCTGTCTGATCAAATTTTGGCGAGACTTTCAGGTCTGACCAAAACTTGGCGAGACTTTTATATCTCGCCATATTTTGGCGCGAAGTCTTTACATCCAATTTGCAGTGGAAAAATTGATGCTTGTGGTGTGATGTGCAGGTGCTCACGGGTGGAGCGCCTGGCGCTGTGCGTCAACAAGGACCAGCTGCCGGCGGGGCTGGTGGGCGTGCTGCCGGGCCTGGGCGCCCTCAAGGACCTCCGCCTGCAGGACGTGTCGGACGGCTTCCTGCGCGGCATCCGGCACGCCGTGGCGCCCAGGCTTACGCGCCTGCACGTGTGGTGGCTGGCCGTGGCGGAGTGCAAGCACGGCGGGCTGCTGCACGACAAGGCGGAGATGCGGCGGCTCAAGGACCTGCTGCGCCGCCACCCGGGCCTGCACGTCACCGTCAACTACAGCGCGTGCGCCTTCCACGGCGCCCAGGGCAAGTGCAGGCACTGCAAGGCCGGCTGCCACGCCGCGTTCAAAGACGCCGTGCACCTGGGCTTCTTCACCCACGACGCCCGCCAAGACTGCGACGTGTGCAACGACGACTCGGTCGTGTGGCACGAAAGGCTTCGGCTCTGATGTGAGGCCTCGCACCTCCTGACTTCGGGAACTTTGGTCGTTTGCCTTTGAACGTCCACCGACTTGCAAGCCATTTTCTTTCAAGTGCACTCAAGGATCGGGTGCATTTATTCTTTGTTTCATTCTTTGATGGCTCATGCTCCTCAATACGTCAGTGCATTTTGGCCAAAATAATTTTTTTAATTTTTGATGCGACTTGCTATAGCTTTATTTCTACCGTGTGATCCAATCTGCTGTTGCTCTGCTCTTGAGGAAGCTGGTGCACTATCGAATACCCCTACTTGTTTCTTTTTTATCTCCACACTTTTTTTTTATGAACCATGCAGTAGTGACGAATCTCAGAGTCATTGAACAGTTCATAGTGTACGAGCCTAAATGGCACTTCTCACTTGGATTTGTTAAAATTACTCCTATTTGAATCTCGAAGATCGAGGTATCAAGTAAATATATTCATGGTTTTTGTTTTTGGACTACTAAAATTTTAGTGCCTTTTCTGTAGAAGTCTCCGACAGCCTTAGTGCTAGTGACTTATGGGTCAGCTGCTCCCCTATTTATGTTAACAAGAGAATTGTGAAACTTCGTCAATCTAGAAATAAATTTATTTGAGTTAAAATTCAATTATGTGTGTAATTAACTTCAGGCGTCTGTGCCTTCTTGGCTACGAAAATAAACAATTTCACACACAATTTTATCTTCTTGATTTTCAGCAATTATGATTGACTCTGCATTTATCGCACTTAAACGTCAACTTGCAACTCTCGACGAAGATTCGATTTCCGAAGCTGCACTCTCAGTCTTCTATTGACTTTCTCCTTGCCATGAAGTTTTTTGTGCAAACGTAATACGTACTATTTTCTCTTAAGCCATGCACTATTTTGTTCATTGTATAACGTATATAGTCCATGAAACCTTTTTGTCATTTGAAATGTACTTTTCAATTTCTACATGATCTATTGACAATTTTATCTTTATATTGATCAAAATTGTGCATAGTTAAAGAGAAAAAAGTTCATTTTACGTTTGCTCAAAAAAACGTTATAAGCAAGAGAGAAAAAAGTCCATACAGGTTTGAGAGTGTGAAAAAGTTGAGGGCAAGCATATGCATCATTCCACTCTAAACCACCTAGGTCGTCGCTGCGTGGACGGACCCTCTCCCAATTGGGCCAAATATTGTGTTTCGCTACCAATTAGAATCATTTTGAACGGTAGAGGACGGTTTCGGGCGGAGGCGTTTGGTTTCAGAAATCAGGACAGCTCTTTTACTGTGCATTTAAAAATTATATCTCGTAGTCTTACAATGTTCCGAGTATGGTGTAACCCTTCTAATATATCAACGAACTGACCACGGAATGTGGAAGAGGGGATGATTCTGCATGTAATACCATAAAAAGGTCCAAAACGGGTCAATAGTAACGTTGACGTCTTGATCTTTATCTGAATCGAGCTGCAAAATAAATTTCGTATTATTTTGATATATTTGACTGTTTGACAACTCTGGGATGGCCCAGAGAGGACGGACGATGCAGGGACTTCATTTGATTAACTATGGAGCGAGGGGGTATGCACTCGCGTAATAGTCGGTTCACTCTATCTGTAATAGCACGCGTAATAATACGCGTAATAGCCGAAATTGTCAAAATTTTATCAATTTTGGTGTGTTTTAGGCCGTTTTTAGCTAAATTCCGATTAATTTGTGGCGTAATAGAGCGTAATAGCGTAATAGTCGGTACACAGGTTCAGAGAGCGCATACCCCATGGAGTGACAAAGTCTCACAAGTCCGTGAAATTGATCAAAACCAAAGTACTGAAACTCAGGCCATCCGAAATTTCTCCTTAAACCGCTATGCACATCGACTTACTGTGGTCGCATCGCACTCTCGGAGTATGCAAACTACTTTTAACTAAGCATTCATGCCAACGTTATGACTCTGTTCACTTTCGTGGAGAATAGTTGAAAGTTGCATAATGTCTGTTAAAAGACAGACTACTAAACGGGTCACGAGTTAGGAAGAAACGATTCAACAAGTAGTAAGAATGTTCAGTTTTTATTCATAAGTAAAATATCACAACAGAGGTGGGTACTATTTAAATTCGGAATAAGTCAAGCAGAAGAGGTGACGCCGCAAGTAAAAACGTCTCGAAACATGGTTGATTAAGAATTAAACAAAACACCTTGATTAAAAAAATTGTTGCATTATATATAATGAGCGTTCACAATAAAGACACATTAAAAAAGCACAGCAAGCACGGCAAAATATTGTTGTAACAAAAAGAAGGGCACATTCTGAATGGAAAAACAAAACTACCTGAAGTGGAATTTTCAGAACAGACAGAACCATGCAATATGAAATACTCAGAAGAAGTCAACTAGTCCCACGAAAATGCTGAGACGGATGTTGAGGACGCGCAAAGCTCCTCTGGCATGCCAAGGTCGTCCGAGTCTGACGACCCATCATTCACCAGTAGTTAAAATCATCTTGGGAGCTGATTTTGTCCCGAACCGGGTCTCGGTCTTCGCAGTCCGACTCGGGCATGCAGGCGCTGTGGCTGCAGCGGGTCTTCGTGCCGTAGCTGTGGTCCTTCCGCGACAGGCGGACGGCGCGGGCCAGGTGCCGGGACAGCACTCGGACCTCGGGCCGCCTGGCCTCGAGTCTGGACACGGCCTCTTGGCCCTTCTCGGTCACCTGCGCAGGGACAATACACACTCAGCCTCGCAGTGACACTTTAGTCAGTTTATATTCTTTTCTCTTCACTCTCATTCCAGGAACGTGACATCACGTAGACGCGAACGTGACAAAATGTCACGTTCTTTTGAAAGTGAACAAGCTAATTTTTGGCCGATTTACATCCAAACTAATGTGACACAATGCTCAAACGAGCGTGACATGTTGTCACGTTCGTTTCAACGTGATGTCACGTTCCTGAAATGAGAGTGTTGCTTGTAAACACACTCATTCAAGGAACATCACGTTCAAACGAATGTGACAAAATGTCACGCATTGTGTCTCATTCGTTGGAATGTGTGTGGAGTTCAGGACGCCGTAGTTTATGAACGGTCTCCTCAGAAAAATTATAACAAGTATTTTTGTACCCCTCAATCAAAATGTGAACAAAGTAATTTGACGAGCCATAAGATTCAGCATGGTTTTTTTTATTTTAGCATACATACTAGTTTCGCGGCAAGAATCTGGAACCATCACTCTAAGATTACGCGTGTCCTCAGCTAATGTCTCGGTAGCTCGGATGGTCAAGGCGAGAGCGACTGCGAGAACGCCCTGGGTTCGAATCCCAGGCGAGTTGATCTTTTTCCCATTTACTGCTCACATCCGGTAACATCACTCTAAGATTGGACGTGCTCACGAAATATGCGTCTCGGTAGCTCAGATGGTTAAGGTGAGAGCGACCAAGAGAACGCTCTGGGTTCGACTCCCAGGCGAGTTCATCTTTTCCCCATTGACTGCTCACATCCGGTAACATCACTCTAAGATTGGACGTGCCCACGAGATATGCGTCTCGGTAGCTCAGATGGTTAAGGTGAGAGCGACCAAGAGAACGCTCTGGGTTCGACTCCCAGGCGAGTTGATCTTTTCCTCATTCACTGCTCACACCCGGTAACATCACTCTAAGATTGGACGTGCCCGTCTGGTAGATGTCTCGGTAGCTCAGATGGTTAAGGCGAGAGCGATCAAGAGAACGCCCTGGGTTCGACTCCCAGGCGAGTTGATCTTTTCCCCATTTGCTGCTCACATCCGGTAACATCACTCTAAGATTGGACGTGCCCATGACATGTGCGTCTCGGTAGCTCAGATGGTTGAGGCGAGAGCGGCCAAGAGAACGCCGTGGGTTCACCTCCCAGGCGAGTTGATTTTTTCCCCATTTGCTGCTCAAATCCGGTAACATCACTCTAAGATCGGACGAGACGTCAGGTATGTGAGTCGGTAGCTCAGATGGTTAAGGCGAGAGCAGTCAAGAGAACGCCCTGGGTTCGACTCCCAGGCGGGTAGAACTTTTCCCCATTTGCTGCTCACATCCGGTAACATCACTCTAAGATTGGACGTGACCGTCAGGTATGTGTCGCCGTAGCGCAGTGGGCAGGGCGGCGGCACGACAGTTCTCTGAGGCCCTGGTTCGCCACCAGGTCGGTTCGTCTGGGAGTATTCCCGGGACTGAATTTCCATATACCCTTTATGATGCCTCTACCCCACCCTCCCTTCGGGGAGGGGGGGTAGGGGGGGTGGGGACCCGATGAGGGGAACTCTTTTGCCTTTTCAGAGGGGGAGAAACTTGCGAGTTTGCTTTTCTTATAGCCAGGCTGACGCTGATTTCCCATCACCGCACGGTGGCGTGTCGGATGGGTGGCCTAACTTCACGGCGCTCCGCGCTGAACGAAGTCGCCGCCGTGAAGGTAGGCCGCCCCTTTGACACGCGATCTCTCTCGTGAAATCGAGACTGCGCCTGGAAGGTGCGCCACCCAACCTGCGTGAAAGTTTAGTTTCTGCCTTTGTCCGCGTTTCCTTTACGCTCTGAGCCACCCAGACACTTAAGATTGATGGTGCCGAATGCACTGGGTTTGGAAAGTAAACTGAGACTGATGGTACGGGATTCTTGTTTAATATTACGTACTTCATATCAAGATAACCAAGCACTTGTTTAATGTTACGTACTTCATATCCTACATCGTATCAAGACAACCAAGAATAGTCCCACTGTTAAGAAAAAGCAAGACCAAAGCTGCGATACTTTGATGATAGATAACTGATCCATGAAGCGGAAGAAGGGGATAACTCAATTTTCATCATTTTTCAGGAGAAACAAAAAACTGTTCGCAGGGCAAACTTAAACCAATCAAATGAACGATGCAATTGGATTTTAGTCAAGAATAACTGTGAAAATTTTCAAAGGTGTAGCATTACGCTGTAGTCGCTCTCTGTGATTTAGATCTTTACATTGGAATGGACCACGGAACCATGTTTACTTAGTTCTCCAAAACAAGGTGGATTTTAGAGACAATTTAAGGGGGGACCCTGGTGAAAAAATAGCCAAAATTCCAAAAAAAATAGTCTTTTCAAAGTTCGTAGATAAAAATGCTTATAGAAGGTTTCAGATTCAACAGGTTGAAGACCTTTAAGCTAAGTGGGTAGTTTCTTTATCATTTGGAAGGAAATAACATTGAGATCAGTTCTCGTTGGCTTCTACGCTCCACTTCACAGCTTTGCTCAGTCGACAAAAATATTTTGTCGTAGAAAGACTTCCTGCGTTCCTGGTTGACACCTACATGAGTCGTCTTGCATGGACTCTATTCATTGATGACTTGTCGACAAATTTTAGTGACGGAATCTTGATATCAGATCTACTTTTTTAAAAACACACCTAGTTTGAAAAAAGGGGAAAAAAATCACTTTTTTTTACATGTTGAAATTTGAAAACTCATATCTCAGGACAGAAATTGAATTTGAAAATTCCGTCACTAAAATCTCTTCTATAGGTCTTTAGGATAACCCAAAAAAATTTTCAAGACTTTCCGTCCCAATGAAAGACGCAGGAAGATTTTTCCCCAACGTTCCAAAAAACACTAAAAAGCCACCTTTCTCAGAGACCGTTCAACATTTTGGATCGAATTTTGTTTTGGGAACTCACCATAATGAACCTCATAATCAAGCAAAGTTTCAAATTCCTGGGATTATTTTGAAGCCTACTTGAAAGTTTCACCAGGGAAAGTGGAGCTGAGGTCTGCATAGAGTCTGTATTTCTTTGGAACATTTTTGAAGTTACTTCTTTTTTCCAACTACTGATAAGGAGTTAAGCTGAGATGATTCTTTTTACATTAGATTCATAAATACACAAGTTGAGTTATCTCCTTTTGCCATTTTGTGCAATGGAGTTATGTGGACTTCGGTTGAGGTAACTCCATTTTCCGATGAAATTCAGACCGTAAAAGGGGTCAAGTTGAGTTATGTCATTTTATTACGTGGATTTTCTACTGAACTGTTAGGAATTGGGTCAAACAATTTGGTGTAATGATGCAAACCATCATGAGGCACAATAATAAGATAGAAACTCAATTTGGAGATAAGTCGAATTGTTCCCTTCTTCCGCTTCCTGGATCAATGCGTGTCGTTAAGTACTGAAAATTAGCTCAGTTTTACGACTGCGCGGTATATCTCAGTAGTATATTGGGAGTGCAGGTACAGGACCCCTCAACTTGTTCACCAGAACCCACCGAGCAGTTCCGCAGGTCCAGCAGGGTGAGGTTGGGCAGCGCTCCGGCGGCGAGGCCCTCGAACACGGAGCTCGGCACCCTCGCCTTGCTCAGCACCAGCGACTCCAGGCCCGCCATGCGGCCCACGAGGACGTGCAGATCCCTGGGGACGTCCACCATGACCTTGCTCATGGAGTGCCAGCCCTTGTAGGCGAGCGTGAGGTGCTTGACGTTGGGGCAGCCGGCGGCCGCGGCCTGGGTCAAGCCGCGGTGGGCGAAGCACTCGAAGTGGAGCTGCAGGCTCTCCAGGCCGCGAGCGACGGCAGAGGTCTGGAAGAAGTGGAGCATGGCGTCGTGGGGCGCGCTCCACCCGGCGTCGATGAGGCCCAGGGACCGCAGGCGCGGGAAGGCCTCCAGCACGCCGACGCGGCCCCACAGGGCCACGTGGAGCTCCTCCAGACTCTTGCACTTCTTGAGCGCGCGCTCCACGGGGCCCTTCCGGTCGCACGCCCAGCTCAGCTTGTCCACGCGGTACGCGCTCATCGCGAACGACACCAGCGTCTTCCGGCAGCGCCGCAGCGCGTCCGCCAATACCGGGCCGCTCACCGACCCGCCCACCGCCAGCGCGGTGACCTGCTTGCTGCTGCCCGGGTACACCACCAGGAGGTTGCCGTTCACGTACAGTTCTTTGATGCCCAGGCCGTCCAGCGCCCCCAGGAGTTGCAGGTTCTGATCGCCGTAGTCCTCCGAGCTGAGGTGGCTCAGCTTCAACACCTGTCGACACGAAAAGAAAAAGGTGATACAAATGGTCAACTTCACTTCAAATCTAAGCGTCTATTAAGTGCACACTTGATCCATGAAGCGGAAGAAGGGGATGATTCAATTTTCATCATTTTTCAGGAGAAACAAAAAAAACTGTTTGCAGGGTAAACTTGATCCAATCAGATGAATGAGGCAAATGCATTTTAGTCAAGAAAGCCTAAGAAATAAGTGTGAAAATTTTCAAAAGTGTGGCATCACTCTGTAGACAGTATCCGTGATTTAAATCTTTACGTTGGAATGGACTTCGGAAACATGTTTACTTGGTCCTCAAACAAGGCGGGATTTGGAGACAAAAATTGCCTCCAGTAGCACTTTAAAAGTGATGACGAGAAAACGTGTCCAAAATTTATCATGCCGCTTATAACTGCTCCATCAACAAATCAGTCTGTTTCCCTCCCCTCCGTGAGGGAAACGAACGGTGCAAAATGGCCAAGTATAGATAACAATGAATGCATTGCACCCGAGGGGAAAACAACTAGCCAAAAAGAGTACACTTCAAATTAAAATTTCAATTTAAATAACAAATTTGCAAACTTTAAAGAAATTTAGGTCAGAAATGAAAATTTTCGGAGCGGTTCAGTCTTAAAACCACTGAAAATTTATTGAAAAGTTTGAACAGTCAAAGAAATGAGAAAAAATTTCATAAATTTCCTTGAAAAACTAAAGCGTAGTATTACCCACTATTTGCAAGCGTAATCAGTTTACGCTTGAAATCAAGCGTTATCAGTTTAAGCTTGAAATCAAGCGTAAAAGGCTCATCCGCAAAGATCCCATAAAGATCCCATAAAATGATCCCATAAATCCCATAAAAAGATCCAATAAAGATCCCATAAGATCCCATAAATGCATTGAGGAGTTTCCGGTCCATGCTTGAATTCCAGCGTAACGTCTTCAAGTGTAACTTTATGCTTGGCTCAAGCATAGAGTTACGCCAGCGGTTCTCAACCTTTTTCGTCTTGCGACCCCAAATTTGGGGCCAAAAAATTCCGCGACCCCCGGGAAAATTTTCGCGACCCCACGCGACCCCCCCCCAAAAAAAAAAAAAAAAGAAGGAAAATATATACATATCAAGCCATTTTTGAAAAAAAAATTAAATCAACTTCTGAAAAAGAAAACTAGACATTTCTATATCAGGTTTGTTGGGATCACAGTTACGATGAGTGGCTGCCTTGGACGCACTTTGGAGACTATCTTGGAGAAGCGCGGTTCGGAGTTCCTCGCCACCGCCACCCGTAGGTCACTCCCCACCTCAAGGCGGTTCCTATGTTTGTCCTTAATGTAGGTCATATCTGAAAATGTCGACTCTGCTAAGTAGGTGGTCGCAAATGGCAGCAGAACCCGGATGGCTGCGGCAGAGACCCTTCCGAGAAGGATTTTCCCGCTTGCTCACGGTGCTTGAAGACCGCCAAACGTCCGTGCAGCGACAAACAAGCAGTGGGTTTTTAAGTTTCCGCGAATTTAAGTTCCCGGCAGTGCTTGGCCTGGCGGCCAGCCGGGAACTCCCCGCGACCCCAGGCGACCCCGGCCACCTCGCCGCGACCCCACAAAAAATTTTCGCGACCCCATTTGGGGTCGCGACCCCAAGGTTGAGAACCGCTGAGTTACGCTTTGGTTCTACTAGTGTTCGTAGGAGTTTGGATGTGAAGGTGTGGTAGGGATGGTCTTTCATACATTCAAAACATTGCAGAACACGTTGAAATGTTTACCTGCAGATGGCCCTTGTAGTGGCGCAACAGGCGGATGACCTTCTCGGCGTCGCGCATGGAGCACGCCCAGTCCTCCAGGGACAGGCACTGGACGCGGCGCGTGCAGCGCGTCAGGTTGACCGCGGGCCACTCGGACAGCTCCAGGGCCCCCAGGGCCGGGGCGATGCGCAGCGCGCCGAGGTGGAAGGCAGAGAGTTCGAAGGGGTGGTCGTCGGGGAACCGGACGTGCTGCCAGGCCTCGGCGGAGCGGCTCACCTCGCGCAGGCGGCTGCACACCCAGCCCAGGCGCACCAGGGCCTTCGCCTTCAGGTGCCCGCACACCGCCAACAGCACCTCACGGGGCAGCGTCGCCAGCGCGCCGTCCTGCAAAACAACCAACTCTTCGTAATTCATGTCTTCGATTCGGATGAAACTTATTTTTAGGGGTTCCCAAGAACCCCTATTGTCCAAGGTCCGTGGATTCTTCCCCCCCCCCCTCCGATTTTCAAATAAACAACTCTAAACTATTTCAACCATAAAAAAAAAACGAAAATTCCAATTTTTTTCGAAAATTCATCGTGGAAATTTTCCGTAAACGCGAAAAACATAAATTTGCAACAATCGAAAACGAGAACCGTTAATGATATGAAAAAATGGTTCAAATAAAAAATGTGCCACTCCTCAAAACTAAACCTCCTGGCTCATCAAAGTAACAAGAAATCGTATATGTTCTGAGCAAATGGTCAAAACATGAAAAAAAATCTCCATGGCAACGGCATGGTCCCATCGTACCACCCGTCAAAATTTAAAGTCGCCCATTTAAAAAAATCAAAACGCCGTGAAATTTGAAAATGCTGATGCTAACACATTGCACGGTGTCTCAACGTTGGAACATCGTTAAAGTCTGTCACTACTAAAAAGTTCGTAGCAGAAACGACGCATCAAATTAATTTTCGTGGGTTGGCACCAATATGCTTCCCGTCTGCGCCCTTTCGAAAATCGCGAGGCTGAAAGAACGAACAGGCGCCCTTTGAAACTGCCCCTCCATTGTTGCTGAGGTTGGATTGTTTGGCATGCTCTCAAAGGCTGCGGTTGTCTTGTCATGTTTTCCTCGATTTTCAACCAGTTATGAAAACGGGAACACCGTGCAATGCGATTAGCATTGGAATTTTTTTTTAGTGGTAGAGATCAATATGAAACGATCCCATGTCAAAGGGTTTCCCGATATCTCGCCCAGTTTGGCTGTGACGAGGGGGAAATCACTCTCAAAAATTGTGACCCGACTACTCCCTATGACGTTTACGCTTTATTACGCAACTACAGAAGTCTTATTACGTTTGCAAATATAGAGATTTAAGCTTAAGTCATACACTTATAACGGCAACTTGAGAAAATTTTGGGCTTCTGCAATTACGGGTAATACAAGGAATCGGTGAACCCGACTATTACGCGAGTGGTTTCCCTCTCGCACTGTGATAACACAGCGAGGTTTTCACTTTGGTCAGCATCGCGACATTTGTATAATATTCCTCCGAACTCACTGAAAGTAAAGTTATTTTCCGTAAAAAAAGTTCTTTGCGTAGAAATAATAAAGAACACGATGGATATACACTAGAGACCTAACTGTCTACTAAGTACACACTACTAGGCAGGTGTACGCCAGACCGTGTCTTGTCGTAACAGGCTTCGCGATACTGCGCGAGTTTCGACAATCCACGCCTAGCGTACACACCTAACCTTGGCCGCCGGCGCTAGCCTGCCTGCGGCAGGCTGCGTTCCTGGTCGGACCGTAGAAATGGGCGTGATCCCCCATAAAATTAGCATTTGTTGATCAAAGGTACACAAATGGGACTTGACTTTGAGTCGATGGTCATAATGGGTTCTATTTTCGTCATCAGCACCCTCAAATACATGGGAAACGACGTGAAACTTGACAAAAATTTGGAATTACCCAAAAAGTTATCTTTTTTCTGTCGTTTTTAAAGAGTTTCCAGGTGGTTTTAACCACAGGGATCGAGATAGACAGCTGAATTTTGGTGTGTGGCGAGCCAAGGATATATCTAATGACCCTGCAGAATCTCAGCTGAATCGGCCGCGCCGTTCAGGAGAAGTGCGGACAGACAGACAGACACAGAAAAAACTTTCCAACCCCACCCGAGTAACAAGCTTCGCTACCGCTCAGCCAACAAACGTATGCTTGGCCAAGTACACACTTACAAATGCATGCTTAGCAAGTAGACACTTACAAACGCATGCTTAGCGCCGTATAACTTGCATTTGTAAGTGTGTAAAGTAGACAGGTTTGTAGTGTAGATTCCAGACGATTGGATAAAGTTTTTGTGTCGGTTTCTCCATTTAAGGTAGTTTCTTTTTTTTTCTTCGAAAAATTGCTGTTTTCAAAATAGCTTATCTTTGATTTCGATGTGACTTTCCTCACATGATCCTCTCACACAGTTAAGTCCTTAGGCGCTATGGATACCGTGTTTGTGGCTAACGCACTGCAAATGCAACGGCGATACTTAAGCACATTTTTTGGCGATACAATTGAGTATTGCCAAGTAACGGCCTTACGGAAAAGTATTGCCTTTAGAACGGTGATACAAAACAGTATCGCCAAAATTTGGCAATACTTTTGGATATTGCCGAAACCACGGCATTAAACCAAGGTCTTCTCCCCTTGATTTGTTCGACGTTTATTGCCAAATCGTGGCAGTACTCCAAAGTATCGCCAAATTTTGGCGATACTTTTGTGTATCGCCGTTTTGAAGGCAATACTTTTCCGTAAGGCCGTTTATTGGCGATACTCAATTGTATCGCCAAAAAAGGTACTTAAAGTATTGCCATTGGATTTACAGTGCGGATAGTTTTGTGCAGCCTTAATACACTGTAAATCCAAAGGCGATCCTTTTAGTCCCCCCCCCCTCTTTCCGCGCCTGGTGCTTTGCAGAAAAATAAACTCACCTGCACTACCTGCGGACGGAGGCACTCACGCGGGCGTCTTCGGCCGGCGCACACGGCTTCGTGTTCTTTCATGTTCTCCTCGCGGTGATACGAAGAACAGTACGCCTCCTCCAGGCATGCCTTGCACGGTACCGATGCAGGTTTGAAGCAAACTGCACAGCGTGCAGCGTCCTGAGGAACAGCCACGAAATTCGGGTAATTCAGACTCAAAATCAACAAATGACGGACACCGCAAATCCGAAAGAATATGCTTTCAGCGACTTTTATGGTGATTCCAATTATGTATCGCCAAAAAAGGACCATCACGAAAATCTCACATGAAAGAGCTTAAGGGGGCAGTAGCGCCATTATTTTCCTTTTTTAAAACATCGTCGTTTTTTTTTGTCAAGGTTTCATATTTAGACAACCCTCTTCAAGAATATGAAAAGCTTTAGCGGAAATTCGCTACCGGCAAATTTTGGATGGAAAACTTCCAGCAGGCACTGAGTAGCCCTGCGTGCAGTGATATTTTGTCATTATTGGGCGAATATGTTGTGTTGTCTTGTGCCCTTCGCACACCCCACTAAACTGACAGTAGATCAACCACTTTGATTTCAAAATCATTCTTGAAGAACCCTCTTTTCACTGATAATAAGTGATTACTTATATCATGGAGTGGCAACATAACGATAACCCAACAACATAAGCCTCCCCAAAGCAGTTTTATTTATTTTTTATGCTTTTTTGCCGTGGCCAAGGAAATTACAAACAAATTCTTAAAATGATGAACAGTTCGTTTTTCGAAAATAACGAACGGTTCGTGCAAAAACATTTACACTGTTTCGTTTGTAATTTTGCGAGAACCTTTTTTTTACAGTGTAGAATGGTTTACATTATTGTACCAATTTATTTGGCTCAACTCCCAACAGTTAGGGAGAAAATTCACAGCGAGAAAAGATGTAACTCAACTTGACCCCTTTCACCTCAGCCAGAGTCAAATGACTTCATTGTAAATATATTCATTGGAGATAACTTATTTTGTGTTTTAATGTATCTATTGTAAAAAGATTTAAGTCCTCTATTTTACCAAGGAACACAAACACTTAATGCTGTCTTTAGTTCCACTTGACTTGTCTCCGAATTCCACTTCGTTCAGCAAATAATAGAAGATGAGATGATTCTGTTTTCTATTTTGACAGAAAAAGATAAGTGACAGAAATCCTCTACGGAGTGACCTGACACTTCTGTTGTTTATCACAAAATTTAACTTATAATTCTTGAACTTCACAGGCACGCAGGATTGGATTGAGTGTCTGTCTGTTGCAACGTCCGTACTGCAAAATGCCAGCATCGCTCTTTTCAGACCTCATCTCTAAATTTTGGTTTTTAACACTCACCTCATCAGAAGAGTAGCTGTAGCGAATTTCAAATGACTCGCTACATGACGAAGAGCTTGTCGAAGACGATGAAGACGATGAGGTTTCTTCGTCTGACGAGTCAGAGTCAGCAAAATTATCTGCCATCTTAAGGTCTCCCTAAAACAAAGCGTAAGCACAGATGAGAGATAAATCAAAATCACATCACTGCAAAGCCGGAAGCCGGTGGTAAGTTTGCTTGTCACAAAATTAGCAAGCAGTTTTGAATGCCAAAAGTTGGCAAGCTTGGCCCGGAAATACCCCTTAGCTTGCCAGAATTTGGCAATCTCATCTTTGACAAGCTAATTAAGATTTCTGAACAAAGCTTGCCTGATTTCGGCATTCAAAACGGCTTGCCAATTTAGTGGCAAGCAAACTTACCACCGGCTTGGCAGTGATACCGAACCCCTCAAACAAAACAAAAACAGCTATTTTCGAAGACAGTCCCTTCACAAGCAGGAGTAAATTATGTAAAGGGCTGTTACCAGCGTTTTTCGTTTTAAACTCGCCATGAATTCGTACACTTCACCGTAAAACATACGGAAAACAGCCGAGCAGCAGTGTGGGCTCAACTAAAACAATAACTGGGTGAAATCAAGAAGCGTAAACTAGACTGCCTTTTCGGATAGATTGAAGATATCGTCAAATGCGTTGAAAAATTGCTGCTAAGATGGCTTGTTTACGTTGTTGTTGCCGGCTTAGTACTTGACTGGACAGAAAGAAGGCAGTGGCCGGAGCAAGGGGGGCTGACTCCTATAATACTTCGTACACAGCCCTATAATACTTGAATAATACTATAATCCATAATACCAAAAAACGCCGCACATTTTGTGCAGTTTTGGTTTTAAAATGAGAAAGTTGTGTAAAATTGTGGTGAACAAGCGTTCAGAGATTTCTAGACGGAACGTTAAAGTAAGAAAATGGCGCTGAGAGAAATGACTTGGTGCTGAGGCTCTTAAAGATGCGCTGTATAATAATTTGAGGCCCAGGAGCGCGAGCCGGAATCCTTGTTTTCAACTTGCTTGCGTATTTTGGAAACCTTTGGTATACGGAAAACCACTTACAACGACACAATTATCTGGATATAATATTTGGAATAATACCTATAATACTCTATAATACCTATAATATATAATACTTCGTACACGGTTCGGGAGAGTCAGCCCCCCTTGGGCCGGAGTCAGGGGAGTGCTCACACTGGAGTCACGTCAGACGCACTAGATTTGGGCAATACCCTCAAACGTGTGTTCAAAGGAATAACCCTTATATTACTCAAACAAAAATGGTCTGCTCGAGTTAAGCGTCACAAGACTTTTCTGCTGTATTATTAGGAAACTCGTGCAGTTGTATTAAAAATTAATTCTCTAGTGAAGCCGTCTGATTTGTATTACAAAGCTTTCCTTCTCAATGCAAGACATTACAAGACACGGTACAATACCAAGACGTGACGAAAACCACCGGAGAATGTTAAGACGTGATTTCTTTTGAAATAGAAAGAAAAGTTTGGAATGAAAAAAGAAAGGGTTTCGTACTGCAAGATATTAGTTTGGAAACACGACTGCACTGTGCTTTCTTGAGGTAAAAAAAAATGATTCGTAATACAGAAAGTCGCCCTTGGAACAGACGTTTGAGAGTAAGCTATTCCGTTGGGAAAGCACAAAAAGAAAGTGCACACTCTGCCGTTCCCTACCGCGAGCTTCGGGACGGTAGCTTGGAGGCAAAAACGGCACCTGGCTTTCCAAGGATGCCTATAATTGAGACGTAAGCAATAGGGTACTTCGAAGGAGATCCAGTCCGGAAGTTTGCCACAGAACGGGAGAAACAAAAGAGCGTCGAGCCGCTGAGCAGTGGTGGGGGCCGGAATGAGCAGAGTGGGGGTAACGGGCGCGCGCCGCCTGCACCCCCACTCCGCCGATTTCAATAGGATACTTTCGTAGATCCTGAACCGGAAGCAAACAGACGCCATATTGGCGGAAGTGGATCCAAACTTGACATGGGAAAGAGACGATAGTCAAACGCCTCGGCTACACTTGAACATTTACAGTTGTTTGATACTTATTTGCAGTTCATTTGTGTTTCGCGAACAATATTTGTACAGCTCGGCTTTAGTATTAGATTCGAAGAGAGGTTAGGTTCGGGCCAATGCGGCGTCTGCTTCCTTCCGGTTCAGGATCTACGAAAGTATCCTATCCCTACCACCGCTCAGCACGGCGGCGCTACATTCTTTTGCTTCTCCCGTTCTGTCGCTGGTTTCCGGTTTGGGTTTCCTCCGACCTCCCTAGGGAGTTAACTACAAACAGAATGGACTATTTTTTACCGTTGAGTCCTTCCTTTCTTCCTGCTTTACCAGCAGGACGGTTTGTTACGCAAGAGTAGGCGTACGCCAGTACTTCACGACTTCCGACTCAAGTGTCGTGTCACACAGTGGGAGTCGTCCGTTGAATCAAACGACCTCACAATGCCTTACAGACATTCAATGCTAATACCAGGACTCTTCTTCTGAGTACTTCAGAACGGGACGAAAAAGATCAGTATGAAACTGAAGTCAAAATTAAAGGCCTTAGGTCCAGCGGCGGATCGAAGATGTCGGAGAAATTGCAACCGCAATGCGTAGCTTCGTGGATCAGAACGGAACAACGAGCACTACAAAACATGGGCTCGACTCGGGACCGCTTCAGACACTGCCTTCATTGGGATGCTTTCGTAAATCCTGCACTGGAAG